CTGTTTGAGTTTCTAATCATGAGCACATAGTAATTTTAATTCTTGAAATGTCATCAGGAAATGTCTGGGTTTGGGATTTAGGGGCAATTTAGTTTTCTTCAGTATACTTCTTTATATATAAAAAAAAAATCAAAATCAATGTTTTTCAATGTTTCAAAACAAACAAAACCTTTCACTCTCCTGGGGGTGAAGTCCAGGCTCCTGAGTGCTCCCAGGGAGGTCCTGCGGCACCAGCTCCTGCCCCCTCAGTCCCTGCTCTCCTTATTTCCTGGGCAGCACCCCACAGCCAACCACAACTTCCCACACCCACAAAGGCCCTTGCTCTCTTACCTGTGGGCCTCCGTCCATTCTGTTCCTTCTCCCTGCCACACGCTTCCCTCTCCTGATCACTCTTATCCTTCAGCTTTTCCTTCTCCTTCAGCTCAGTGCCAATTGCCTTCCTCCTCCTCCCTCTCAGTGGTGGTGTTGCCCTGGCTTGGCTGGCTCCGCAGCACCCTGGCCTCACCTCCATCACAGCAATGCTACTTCTATACCCTTTACCGGCCTGCCTCCCTCACTATCGTGTAAGAACCCTGAAGATGAGCACTGAGCCTCGTTCCCTGCTAATGTCCAGTTCCAAGCGCTGTGCCTGGCCCATAGTAGGTTTCATAAATGTGCGTTGACTGATCTGACAGATGATGACCAAACTGAATGAACAGTTGTGTCCCCAGGCTTGTCCCTAAATCAGGCCATTGTGGAGGGGGATTCCCGGAGCTGGCCCAAGACGCTGAGCCCTGAGGGCCTGCTGAAGCATCAGCAGACAACCCGGAAGGGCAGACACAGCCGCCAGCAGTAGGGCAGCCTGCTAGACTCCACGGTGGGTTTTACTTCCTCTTCTGCGGTGCCAAGGCCCTGAACAAATATTTTCCTGGAGTGGAGGAGCGACTTAGCTCCCGGCCTTGAGTGCTGGAAACAGCGGCTGTGTCGGGCAGGTGCCAGGCACCAGTGGCAGCGCAGGGTCTGGCTGCACTGAGGGAGGAGGGTCATTAGGGCTGTCTTCCAGGCGGTACCCACCTTCCTGGCTGTCTGAGGAGCGGGGCCAGGGCCACCTTCCCCGTCAGGCCCAGGGAAGCAGCCAGCTCGCTCTGTGTAACACACAGCTATGAGAGGCTTCTGCCCTGGGCCTCTCTGCCCGTAAATTACAATCCTCTGGGATCCTGAAGAAAACATAGGCCATGTGGGCCTCCCTCATTTTTGCTGAAAAAGCTACAGTGGGGTTTGAAGGAACTAATTAGAATCTCAGAAGCTCTTTTATAAGCTTTTTCCCCCTGTCTAACACTTCTTGCGGGAAAACATACACAGACTACACTAATCTTCAGTGTATAGCTTGATGATTTATTTACAGATACATACATCCTTGTAATCACTACCCACATCAAGCCACAGAAGATTGCCAGCACCTCAGAAGGTTCCTTCATGTCCCAGCTTAGTCAATACCACACTCCAACAAAGAAACCCACTGGCTTCTATTACCATTGATTAGTTCTGCCTGTTCCTGAAGTTCACGTAAACGAAATCATGCAGCATGGCCTTTGTGTCTGGCATTTAACATATTGTCTGAGATATTCATTATGTTGTGTATCAGGAGTTTGTTCTTTTTTTATTGCTGAGTAGTATTCTATTGTATGAATAAACCACAATGTATCCATTCCCCACTTGATGGACACTTGGTTATAACCACGTTTTGGGTATGGTGGGTTTTATGAACATTCTTATGCACACCTTTCAGCAGACGTCTCTCTCAAGGCTCCAGGATGGGTACTGGGGATGGATGCAGCAGTATCGGGGAGTGGGGAGAATAGAAAGAGCTGTGGAGGGGGGGTGTTCCCAGTGCCAGGCAGAGCTGGGCAGGACTAGGTCCTCCAGCTCACTCAGCCTCAGGCCTGGGTGGGTCCAGAGCTGTCCCCCAGCCCTCTGGCAGGGACTCTAACCACCCAGCCCCTGCCTATTCAGCTCCAGGGGCCAGAGCTCACCACCTTCTGGGGTGGCCTAGCCCAACTTCCTCTGCTACCAGGCTGGAGAGAAAGGGAACAGGGTGGGATTGATGGGGGGCGTAGAGGTGGTCGGGGCACCTCAGAGGTGGAAGCCTGGTCTGGGCTCCTCCCCCAGTAGTCACGTGCAGGCCTATTTGTGGTTATTGGGTGCCATCGAGTCGATTTCAACTCATAGCGACCCCACGTGACACAGCAGACCTGTCCTATAGAGTTTTCTTGGCTGTAATCTTTACAGAAGCAGATCGCCAGGTCTTTCTTCCACAGAGCTGCTGGGTGACTTCCAACCGCCAACCTTTCAATTAGGAGCCCAGTGCTTAATCATTTACGCCACCCGTGCTCCTTTAAGAGAACTTTAAAAGAAAGCAGACGCATTTAAAAGAAGCCTTTTCTCCCAGATGCTGTTTTGGAGCCGGCCTACCATCAGTGCCTAACCTGGGAGAGAAGTGTGAGACCATCCACCTCGAGGCTCAGCTCTGGGACTTACTGTCTCTTCTGTCCCCCATTAGCCCCCACCCTTGACCGCCAGCTCAAAGGACAACCCATTACAGGTGCCTTTTCCCTCAGGCTCTACCTGAAAACCCATACCTGTGGGAGAGCAAGGTAACTCCCAGTGAGGTGGGGACATGCCTCACAGGTCCTGCCAGTTTTACCTGTTAAGGAGTTCTCAAGCCCGCTCCCTTCTCTCCGTCTCTGCCATCCCGATTCTCTAAAGCAGCCCAGAACTGTGGTAACTGTCACTGGGCCTCTGGTCCCCCACCTTCTGCAATTCCTAACCTTTCTTGCAGTCTGCTTCAGAACCTTCAAGCTCTCAGGTGGCCCTCAGAGGCCCGGGTGCAGAAACTGCCGAGGCCTCGTCACATTCCAGCCGCATCCCTTCCCAAGTCCGCATGAAGCTGAGTCTTTATTGTTGCCTAGGCTGGGCCTTCTGCCTGGAACGTCTCTTGTTTGAGAGGCTAATTTGACTTTCTCCTTAGAGACCCAGTTTAAGTACCACCTCTGCACCCCTCCCATGACCCAGCCCCCCAGCCGGCCACCCCCAGTGCCCCCAAACCCCTCCCCCAGCACTCTGCCATTGAAACTCTTTTCCTGTCTGTCTGTGTCCCCCTCAGCAGTCACCGCTCTGAGAGTTGGGTTCCCCATCTTTATTCCTGATGTGAAAATGAAGCGGTATCTGGAGCAAAACCTGAAAGGCAAGTGGGGCAAAAAGGCAATTTAAAACAGAAACTGGCTTCAAATTAAAGACATTACATGATCAATCTAACAGAAGATGGCTCATTAGCTTAGAAAATAACTTGAAAGAACTCGGTGCAAAATTCCGTGAATGCCCCTCCCCCCCACCCCCGCACACACATGCCATAATCTGGACATAATCAGAAGGTGAGGGGGAATGAAATAGTGCTCGACTGCTCCGTTTCCAGGCAGAGACAGGGGGAGTCTTGAGAAGGTGGAAGAGGGGAGGTGAAGGGGGGCAAGGCCGTGGGAAACAGGGCAGCAGGTGGATGTCCAGGAGAGATGGGCAGGGAGACACGCCTTGCGGCAGGAGTGCCTGAGGAACTTGAGGATGTGCAACCAACTTCACATTTTTGCTTCTTTTACTGTATGTCTCAAACATTCAGCAAAGTTTGTTTTACAGCTCCACCCTATCCTGGTGGTGCCCTCAGCAGAGGCGAACCTGGGCTGGAATACAGAGGAGGGTGGGAGCAAGAGAGCAAGCGATGATCAGGAGAAAGAAGTGGGATGTAGGCTCAGTTGTATCTATTTGGATGTTAAGGGAGAAGGTGGCCCAGGAGGCTGGGGGACTGGAAACTTGCAGGTCACATATGGAGAGGACTTTCTCAAGTTCCTGTCCTATCACCAGTGTGCTCCACAGCTCACTGTGGTTCTGGAGCCAGTGCCCACCTCCCAGCTCCACCACTTCTGGTGCGTGATCTCGGGCAAGAGGCTTCCCCTCTTTATCACAGCTTCTTGTCTGTAAAGCAGGGATAATTAATGGTAGAACCGTCTCATAGATGGTAGAGGAGCTGTGGGTTGTCAAGGAAATACTCCAGATATTGTGTCTAGCCCAGCATTTGGTCCATAGTAAGTGTAGTGAAAGTACTAATATCAGAGTGGCCAGGACTACAACCGTGCACTCACTGTCCAGCCCAGGGACCGGCAGAAGACAGGCACTTGGTGTTCCCACTGTTTGCTGAATGATCTGGAGGCCTTTGTCTCAGCCCACATACCCTTTGGAGCACAATGTGTCAGAGGAGAATAAAATCCTCCACCCAGTCCCTGCAGTCAACAGCCTGGAAGGGGATGGTCCCGCCCCCTCTGTGCTGCCCAGGACACCCCTGAGGTCCTGGGCCTGGCCTGCACTGAGGGGCAAAGTGGGTCAGGAGCAGGGGGCCCCAGGTGGGGACACATGACAGGATGAGCAGTTGAGGGCCTCGGGTCACCAGCCTGAACGAGGCTAAGGGGAAGGCAGCTCTGTGTCCTTAGAACATGGGGGTTCCTGCACTGGACTGAGCCTTTTCAACCCCTAAATCTTTCAATGTACTTTCTCTCTAGTGTGCGGATGACTTTTCTAGACCATTGGTACTTGAGATTGTTTGCTAGTGAAATCTTAAGATTCGCGCAATGAGCACGCAGGATAGAGAGCAAACTGTGACAGAGTCAGTAGGGAGCCACTGGAGTCCTTGAGGGAGGGAATGATCAGAGCCTGCTGAGGAGCAGGAGGATGGGCGAGGCAGGAGAGGCTAAGGCAGGCAGCCCTGTGAGGGGGTAAGAGAGGAGGGCCTGACCCAGGGCTCGGGTGAGCACGGCAGAAGGACACAGTCTTTCTTCCAGTGGAGGCACCAGTGCTAACCCCTGTCCTTCACCAAGTTAGCACACCCAGAGCCAGGCCCCCCTAAGGAAGTGACACAGGCAGGACGTCACCAGGCCTAGAAGAGACTCGACCACCACCAGTGTATGTTGCCAGAAATGACAAGTACCGTTTATTACAGTTACATGAATGAGCCCAGCCAGCAGCATGGGTGCCGTCCCTTAGACCAGAAGAGATGAGTACTGTCACTGTTCCCTCTCCCACCCCCAAGTCATGTCCAGTCACATGCTCCAGTCAGAAAGTCCCAGGATTGAACACAGGGAATGGGTTCCCATTGCTTGACGGTGCATCTGAGTCACAGACCAGGCTGCTAGAACAGAGCAGCCAACAGCAGCTGGAACGTTGTCAAATTAAATAATCAAGTACAGAAATCCCCAGGAACCCTTGGCTGGAGCCTCTGGTCCCAGCAAAGGAGCAGGTGTGGGAGAAGGGTGGGAGGACCGTCCAACGTGTCTGAGAGGCTGGCCTTGGCTCTAGGCCTCTGCCGGGGCCAGGAGCCTCAGGTCAAGCTGTACCGGGGCCCTTCCAGCTTCTCTGGCCATTCAGAAGGTGGCTGCTTCAAGCTTGGCAACACAGAAATTTACATCAGGCCTTATATAACCTTGGCTGAACCTACTGACCCCTAGAAAAATTTTAGCCAAAACAAATATAAACCAGCGGGACTCTGGACCCAGAATCCCTCCACACAGGAAGATGAAGGCACAGAGATTTTAGCCAAGTTTCCCAATACTGTTGGTGTTTAGAGAAAAGGCTGATCACGTTCACACAACCAGAGCAGAGAGAAGAAGCAAAAGCATTAGCGTTCACATGACTACTTTATATTAAAGTTTATTACATTTGGAAGATCTACTGTACAGGGAAAAAACCCATTGGATTAAGTACAGTTTTGCCAAAAGCAAAAGACTATCACTCTTTGGAAAACAGTCCTGATTTCCAGCCCAGGGCAGGGCCACAGGAGCCGAGCAAAGGTCAGCCTGGTTCTTAGTTGAGAAGCTCAGTGTCAGGGTTCCTGAGACCGCCCTCTTGTCAATTTCCAGGAGAAAGCGTCCCACAGAAATGGCCCAGAGGAAGGAAGGACATGGTCTGTGGGGAAACTCCCATCTCACAGTCCTCTCCCCGGACCCAGCCCTGAGCTGCCAGAATCCAATTCTCATGCCAGGCTCCTCCAATTTCCCAGTAGGCCAGGCCCCAGCTGAGGGCGTGAGTTCATGCACACAGGCTTGTCTACTCACAAGAGGCGACTTCCCCACCAATGGAGCCCACAAAGCAGATACTCCATACCCTGTTGCACAAGTGAGTGACGAACTCAGAAACAACACACAAACAGCCTCAACTCTGGCTTTCAGATTTGGTTCTCCTAGTTTTTTTTAAAAAAAAAAGTCTTCTTAACCCTGATGCTGTCTCCTGACGGTACATTAGGGAAGCAAGATGGGGGATACCAAATCCCTTTACTTAACTTACCTCAGAAGAAGCCAAGTCTACCGGGATTATGAACAAAGAAACTATAAGAAGCATGTGCAAAAACAAGTTGACATCTAAATTAGACTTCCCCATAAAACAAAGTGAATGCTGAGAGAGTCCTGAACTCCTCACCCCTGCCACTCGGTGGTAAACGCCCCAAAGATGGTTGGTCTGTACCAGTAAGTGCTATAGATGTGTCAGCCAGAAGCCCTCACCCACAGGATCTTCCAGCCACAGCAGGCCATCCAGGTCCAAAGCAGCAGTATTCCCTTCCTCTCCACAGCTGGGCTTGGGGAGGGGCTGCTCAAGTTTGAAGAAACTGAGTCAGAACGGTGAGATGCCAGGTTCTGGCTGTGGTGGAAAAGTCATATGCAAGAAACCCCTTGCGCGTGTCCCAAGTCTTTCGGCAGAAGTCAGAGAAGCAGAGTAGACCTCCCCAGTGCAGCCCCGTGCTCTTTGGGCAGGGGCAAGCCAGAGTGGCCGAGGGTGCTGATGGGGTGGCAGGGTGTCAGGGGAGGCCAAGGCCTGCAGTTCTTCACAGAAGAGGCAAGTGGGGGCCTAGTGAGTGGCAGTGGGGAGGGGGAGAACCGCTGTCTCCCGTCAGGCATAGAACTCCTCCTGCTTGGTGGGCTTCTGGTAGGCGCCGCCGTTTGCTTGTTTCGGCTCTTCCAAGGAGTAGCTACCCTCGTCCTTCTTCTTCATCCGGTACAGCATGAAACCCACCAGGCACACGGCAAAGATGAGCCCCACGAGGCCTGCAGCAATGACCCCTGGGCAGGCAGACAAAGGACAACTTAGCTCAGCTGTTACTTGGGCTCAGCAGGAGCCCCTCCCCTACTGGGCAGCCCTAGGAGGTGCCCCATGGTTGGTGGGCCACATCAGGACCAAAGGCAGCCGCCCCCACCCCCAGAGCAGAAATGTGCCCTTTCCCCACCCACTAAGGGGTGGAAACTTACCTCCCAAGACTTCCTTCCTGTCCAGGAGGCCCTGTGAGGCCCCGGTGGCCCCCTCATCCTCTGGGGCCTGATTCCGCTCGTCAGGCTCCACAGCAGCCACGACTGTGGTGTCCCCAGGTGTTTCAAAGATGAAGTCCTGTGGGAGGGCAAGGGCAGGACCAGGTTAGGGCAGGGCCCCTGCCTGCAGCAGCAGCCAGCTCCATTTCTAAACCCAGAATAGCTCCTGCCACTGATCCCCATTGCCACCTGCTCAGGCACACCTGACCCCGGGCCTCCCAGCCCCCAAAGCCTTTCCTTCTTGCTGCAGCCCACTAATCCTGGCCAAACCGTGTCAGAGAGGGCATGTCAGGCGATACAAAGTGCACATTTTTATATTAAAATAAATAGGCTTAGTGTAGTGTAAAGTGCAAAATCACCATGACCTATAAGACAAAAAATTAGACTTGGTAGAACTTTGACTCTTACAGCAGGGGTCTTGCATAAGCTTGGGAAGCTCTGTTTTTGGTGATCTTTGAGGACTTGTTATGGATTGACTTGCATCTTCCTCTGCCCCCCAGAAATGTGTTGAAGTCCTAACCCCCGGCACTTGTGAACATGACCTGATTTGGAAATAGGCTCTCTGAAGACGTTAGCAGTTAACATGAGGTCACACTGGAGTATGCTTATCTAATCTGGGCGACATCCTTGTAGAAAGAGTAGAGATATGGGGAAGGCGGCCACGTGAGGATGAAGGCAGAAATCAGAGCGATGCACCTACAAGCCAAGGGCACCGGGGAGTGCCAGGAACCACCCAGGAGCTGGAAGAGGCAAGGAAGGACCTTTCCCTAAAGCCTGAGAAGGAGCACGGATGGCCCTACTGACACCTTGATTTCAGACTTGAAGCCTGCAGAACTATGACACAATATTGTGTTGTTTTCAGCCACCCAGTCTGTGGTACTTTGTTACAGCAGCTTACAAAGGAAACTAGGAAATGAAGACAGGACTCATCTACTCTGGTCTCACATTCAGTCTGCCCTGCCCTGGGCCTGGGCTAGGCCCCGGAGGGAGGGGGTGAGCCACGACCTCGTGACCTTGTCTTCTTGGTGGGGGCTCAAATGTGCTCACAGGGCACAGGATGCTGGGCTTGCCTGACGACCACACCCTGCCCGCATGCACTGTGCTCAACAAGGCACTAAAGGTCACCCTGCCCACTGGCCACTCCATGGCCCAGGAAATGCAGAGGACAGCAGTGGGCAGGCACTCACCTGCTCCCCAGAGCCCTCTCCCACTGGGAGCTGACTGGAGTCTCCATCCTCAGCGGCCCCCTCAGCAGCCCCCTCAGTGGCAGAAGGGCCTCCTTCCTCCAGGCTGGGATCATGAGGGTAGGCATGGTCACGTCCTATGGGAGCTGAGGTCTCATGGTGGCCAGGCTGCACGTCCTTTGGGGCATGGGTGGTAGCAGGTGCCTGGGCCGTGCTGGCTCTTGCTGTTGAGACCCGGTGGGTGGTTGGGTGCTGTGTGGTCTCACTGGGTGGGTGGGATGTCTCCTCCTCCTGAACAGTGAGGCTAGGCTCCAATTTTGTCAGACGCACCGATCCTCCCTCCTCGCGCCCCTCTACAGCGGGCAGGATGGAGGTGGCAATGGTCTCTGTGCTGGTGGGCTCCGGAGCTGTGGGCATGATCGTCAGGAGCCACGTGTCCTTCCAGGTGGAGGGGGTCCGATGTGACAAGGTGATATCTGGCAAAGCACCTGCAGGGCCAGAAGCAGAGCTTGTAGGGATGGGGGAGGCACCAGAGCATCCAGGCTAGCTGAGCAAAGGCTGGCAGGTGGGCATGAGGAAGGCGGGCACCTGGGCGAGGACCCCGGGCCCTGACTCTCAAGCCAGCTAGGAGCACAGCCCTCCCTGCCGTGAGCAACAGTGTCCCCTGGGGTGGAACTAGCTGAGGCGAAACTTGTCTTTGGAGACAGACAAGGAAAGCTGCCTGTCCCACAGCAAGTGCCCAGGGCAGCTTGGTCTCTGGAACCATGAGAAAGACACCAAGGCCGTCTGGGAGGAGTCTTTCCCATGACCAGTGGTGCCCACTCCTGGGGTAGGGGGCATCCTCAGAGGTACGAGTGCCCTGTCCCCAGTGCACACACATCTCTGGCACCCCTCCCTGGCCCAGATGCCCTCCCCTCAGAAAGGCCTAAGCTCCCAAGCCCAGAGGCCTATAGCCTACCTGTCAGCTCTCGCACCTGTGCTTAGACCACCTTCCCCACTGAGATGGCCTCGGCCCTCTGTTCTTAGCTCTTGCTCATCTTCCAAGGTCCAACTTAAGAGCCACCTCCCCTGGGAGGTCTCCCTGACCACCTCCTGCTCCGTGATCTCTCTCCCCCAGGGGGAGGGGAAATGGAAGATTAAGGGGACATTTGTCAGAGATCTACACTCCACCAGGTTCTGTGCTGTCTTCCCCTTCCCCACAACTTTGTGATGTCTAGGTATTACTCCCATTTTAGAGATGAGACAACAGAGGCTCAGAGAAATCAAATCACCTTCCAAAGGGCGCCCAGGAAGTAAAGAGGAGAACGTGAACCTGAGTCTGTCTGCAGCAGGCCGCCCCCAGGGCCTTCCGGAATGCTCAGCATTCACCTCACCTCCGTGAGTGTTTTCTCCTCAACCAGGCAGCTCCTTGCAGTGTGGACCTCATTCTCTTCCCCAGCATTGCCTCTGGGGCCCAGCTGGGGGCTGTGCACTCAGTAGGTACTCAGTAAACGCCCTGTTGCCATCTGGGGGTTGGGGCCCCCCCAGTGCCAGCCTTACCTGCACCCGAGCCAGAGAAGTTGTCAGAGTCATCCCCAGAGCCGTCCTGATCTTCGGGAGGCATATTTGTGGCGATAGTTTGCTGAAAAAGGATCAGAAAAAGGTGTGAGTCGGGGCTAGGCAGGAACCCTGCTCTTCCTGGGTCTCCATCCTAGAGAGCTGAGTGAACTCACCTCACCCTCCTCAGCAAGGAAGGGCGCTCTCACGTGCTGCTCTGGGACCCTCAACTCTGGCAGCCCTTTTGTCCCTGCAGCATACCCCTGACGCTACAATAACACAAGGGCCTGGGGTGCAGGAACACCCAAGAGGGGGCAGGACCCTTGCCCCTGAGAAGCTCAGTCTGGTGAGGAGCCCAGACCTCTTCAAACGGCAGAGAGAAGAAACTGAGAACACAGGTTGTGGTCCCCATGGGACCCCACCAGCCCACCCTACCCTGAGAACCATGTTCTGTGGGCCATCAGCCAGGAACTTCAGGGTCCAAGATGCCGACCCTGCCCCACTGAGGGGCTCTCAGGGCCCCCAGGAACAATCCTAAGATGGCTGGACTCAGAGAGGCAGCCTCTAGGTGTACTGGTCACCAACGGCCCTGGAGGGAGGTCAGGGATGGACACAGGGGTGATCTGTCTGTCCTGAGGTAGATGTGCCCACACCAGACACCCCCAGGCATGCCTACAATGCTCCTTCCCACACCCAGCCTGTCCTCTCATCCACAGTAACCACTGGGTCCAGACCCACTGCTCAGAGTATTTCCCTCCTTGAGGAAGGAGGACAGGATACCCATCAGGCCCAGATTGAGGCTGATCTGGAAGAGGCCTTGCACTAAGGAGGTGCTGGTATATGGGCTGTGAGCCTGGGCTGGACCCTGTTTGCAAAGAGCTGGCCTAGGAATGCTGCCCACCTGGCCCAGCTCCGAGAGGCTGCAGGTGCCAGAGTGCAAATATATACCCAGCTCCTGAGGCAGGGGCCGTGCAGGCAGGGCTGTGGAGGGGGGCTGGCGAAGAGACAGAACACACGACAGGCAGCTGAGCAGGCCTGTGCAGAAACCCTGTGGGGGTGGGAGCAGCAAGTCAGGACCTCCCCCCCACCACACACACACAACACTGGCCCCAGGAAAGCAGGTGGAGAAGGGAGGACCTAGCAGTCAGGTGGCAAAAAGGGACAGACAGAGGAGTCTGTTCAGCAGTCAGACTTTGACCCAAATGATCCCGTTACACAGCCCACCTCACTAAGGCCCCAACGCCAGGGGCCAGAACAGAGAATGAATACACGTGGTCTTTAGAGACCCTCGGAGCTCTGCTACTTGCTAGTTGAGTGGCCCTGGGAAAGTCATTAAACATTTTACCGCCTCAGTCTCCTCATCTGTAAAGTGGGGACAATAATAATATCTACACTTCAGATTGTTGCAAAAATTAACTGAGGTTTTGCACGTAAGGGACCGCACAGAGCCTGGCAGAGCCCCACTACAGCAGCTGCTGCTCTTTCAAGGGCCTCGAAGGCTGTTAGCACGGAGCAGAGAGAATCTGGGGCACACACACAGCAGCCTCTAACGCCAGCAGGCCTGTCTGGAAAGAGGGTGGGATGGAGTTGGATAGGGTTTCATGAGCAGAGGGGAGCAAGGAGAGAGCCGGTTCATGGGGGCTCTGCCCGGACTTGTCAGGAACAGTCCCCGCCAGAGGCTGGGCTCCAAGGGAGAGAGGACTTCCTCAGCCCCAGAGAGGCCTTGCCTGGTCCTGGCCACAGCCCATGGGGCCTCATTCTTGAGTGGAGCAGAGCAGGGAGGGGCAGGCAAAACCTTTGGCCTCCTGAGGCAGCCTCAGGGCAGAGCTGGGCCAGGTGGAGGCTCCACATCCAGGGTCTGGGTCAGAGAAAAGCATTAGACACGAGTAGAAACACAAGGCCACAAATAACACTGAACTTCCTTTGAAAGTTCAAAACCAAAACTGTACCCCTCTTCCCGAGAAAAAGGCCCCGGAGGGCCTGACAAACCATCATGGCTCACCTACAGTGAACAGTCATCGTCCAGCTTCCCAGCCCCCACACCAAAGCCAGGCCTCATCCTTTCTACCCATCCCGAGGTGGTGCTCCAAATACCTGTGCTGCTTCAACAGAGCTTGGAAGCTGCCCCCAGCCTCTCCCAAGCCTCTCCTCAGGGAAGGCACCTCTCCCCTTCAGCAACCAAGAATCCTGTCCACCAGACAGGCCAATAGTGGGTACCACCCCCTACCGCCTCAACTGTCCCAGGCCCCCAGCAGGCTTGGAGGGAGTCCCACCCACACCCACCGAGATCACTGCTTCACCCGCCTCACCCAGTGCTTCTGCCCTGCCCTCTGTGCTCCTGGGGAGGCCCTGGGCTGACAAGCACCTTTCCTGACTCCCTCCCTTCGAGAGAAAGCTTGCAATGGGGCAGGGGAGTAGGGCTCCAGCCAGACTTCCCTCAACTGCATTTTAAAGCAGAGTCAAATCTTACAGCAGAAGCCAGAACCCTCGCGTCCAAAACTTATTTTACAGACAAGGTACGTGAGGCCTGTAGAGAAGCCACACATACTAGAGACCACGTACAGCCTGGAGGTACTGCCAGAAGCAGTGCAGCCGAGTCCCAGGTGAGCGCCAGGGTGGCCCGGCCTCTCACCTACACAGAGGAACCCCAACAGGTTCAGTTTCCCAAGAGCAAGGCTTCTCTCCTGACTAGGTAAGACTCAAGGTCTGCCCAGTCCCTAAAAACAATTTGTTCCCCTTAACTCTGCTCAGCTTATCCCTCTGCAATCTTGTTTACACAACAAGCTCTTAAGCAAACAACAGCCTTCTCCACTGGAACCAGCTCACTGGCCTCAGGGGGGCCTCTCCCCTTTCAGCTTCAGCTCTCTGAAGGGGTTGGGCTGTGGTGACCCAAATCCCCTCCAGTTTCAACTTGCCATGAGAAGTGGGAGATTTCAGTCCTGTGGGGAGGAAATAAGCAGAAACTGCTGAATTTGAACTTGGATCACTCAGGTGCCAGCTGACTCTGGGGTTTTGGGTGCGACTTTCGGTTTCATTTAGCAGCTGCTGTGTGAACAGCCTGCAGCAAACTTCCTCCAAGGCCTCATGGGGCTCTCAGCATCATCTCTGACTCAAGTCCTCCCAAGACCCCTCATACGCCACTCGGAACCAGCTGGCAGGGCCGCCCAGGGACAGGTGGGCTCAGCTTAGGGCCCTGTCCCCCTCCCCAATGCTGTCCAGAAAGGCAAAAGGAAGCAAGCCCCATACCTTAAACGGGCCCTTTAACCTCTGCAGGTCCCAGGGAAATCAACTTTTCATACAACAAATCACAAGCTTTGTGGTAAGTAAGGTCTAGACTTTCACATGTTCAGTTTGCTCAAAGCAAGGGACATTGTTCCTTCCGCATCCACACCCCAGACCCTGGAAGCCCACTGGTGTGAAACCCCAAAGCCAGAACATTTGGCCAGGCCAGGCAGAGGAGACACATGGAGTCTGGGGACAGGGACTAAGAAGAGGGACAATCAGCCCATCTCTGTCTCCGCCACAGTGACCTTCTGCGTGGGAAGGAAAACTCAGGGGGAGGGGTCCTGGTCAGGGCTTTGGCCTAGTAGGAAAGAGGGGATGAAGGGAACGCGGCTTCCTCTAATGCTGGAAAGCGCTTTCCTTCTATTATCGCCTTTGATGCCTACTACTCATGAGCAGGTGAGGTGGGCAGGATTGAGATTGGCATCTCTCAGAAAGGACAAGTGACCTACCCAAGGCCACCTCGTCAGCCTCTGCAGACTGCTGGCATAGCCTGTGCTCTCCTCACCCTGAATCTCCCTCCCCTCAGCCCTGAAGGACCCTCCTACCAGGTTGAGCCCATCTATTTGAAGGAAAACTTGCCTAAGGCTTCTCAACTTCACCAGCAGGATCAAGAAGTCATGGGATAAGAATTCCAACGAATGAGACTTCTGCCCTAACCCCAGTGGCTTAGGGTAAGGGCTGCTGGTCCACACTTCAAAGGAGGAGAAAAGATGGCCTGGGTAAGATCAGGGTCAGAGCTTCTCGGGGGCTGAGGGCCTTTGTCACTCTGCCACCAGCCATTCCCAAGAGGATCTCTGGAGATCTGTGCAGAGAAGCTTCAAGAAGACTGCCTCGAGCACATTCCTGCCAGTCCCCTCACCTCTGCACTGGTCATAAGAGGGGGGCCCTCCTCAGAAACTGCCATCAGAGTGGAGCCTGCTGCCCTGGTGGCCAGGGTGCTCTGGGGTGAGGAGTCGGGGTAGTACACCTTACCGCACCTCTCCAGGAGACTGTGGGCACCAAAGCACCTTGGGAGGGTCAAGAGTCAGGATATCAAGTGGGAATCTCAGAGAGGTTCAAGTGAGGATGGTGGGCCCAGGGGCTTTTAACTCCGGGCTGGCCAGAGAGGCTGCCCATCTGCCCCTCCTCACTCCATCATCCTGCAGCCAGCAGGAATGAAGAGGGGTGGATTCCGGCCCGCACACTGAGTCACTGAACTTGGTGTTGTGTGCTCTCTAAACCAACAAATTCTAAAAGTGCAATATCATGTAAAGGGGCCACAGAATGCTGATGTTCAACAGGGTCCTCAACTTCAAATACTCAGGGGCCATCGTCCAGGGGCTTTGGGGAGGACACAGGGCACAGAGCCGGTTGCCCGCTTCAAGGGCCTTCAGGAGGGAAGCACCCCCGGGGGTGGGTGCAGAGGGCTGCCATAATGGGGGGCTAGGACTGGGCCTCAAAGCCCCCAGCCAGACCCCAAAGGATAAGCCAACGTTCACCCTAAAGTCACTAACGTTGCAGAGCTGAAGGTCTCTTTGATTACAGCAGCTTTGGACCGTGGAGTGGGAAAGGGAGGTTTAAATATCTGCTGGTCGTAAGTAAACTGGTATGGCAGTGGGGGCAGTCAACGCCTGTGGGTGGGAGCCGAGGTCCGGAATAAACAAGGCCATTAGTCACAACATGAACCGCGGGAAATCAAGGATAAAGGGCTAGCCCTTATCAAAGCACTGGGTCACAGACAGCCTTTCCCAAGCTGCCTACGTCGCTGGCCTTGGCGCTGGTGGACAGGAGGGCCCCCCACCTTGTCCAGGAGTCCAGGCT